TCTCGTTTCTTACAGCAGATGCGGCAGTGGCGGTCACGACTGCCGCCTAAGGGTTTTCAATTTTTGGTTTTCTTGGCAGTTTTCATTTTGGGTTGCGGCCCAATGTGGGCATATTATGGGAGTTTACTACGTGTAAGGTGATTCATATAAGCTGATGGAAAGGAGACTGAATATTTTATTTTGACTTGGAGAAGAAGAATCTTGACAATGCCTAGCTTTGAGAGCCAAGATGACCATTTTTGGTCATGAGCTGGACAATTTGAGCTTACAGATGAACAAATTGCAAATGCAAATGCAATTCACCAATTGGTGAAAGACACTGAGTTCTACTTCCTTTCTGCTATATACTCTCCATTTTCATTGAAAATGTATGCTGGCAGCTTGCCATTGGAGACCTACAACTTCTACAAAGCCCTAGAATTTCATATCATGCAAAAGATAATTGAATTGTGAGTTTCTTCTAATAATTTTATCTGTTTTTAACTTTTTTTTTAGGTATTTGTGTGGATTTAATGATCTATATTTTTAGGTTTTCAATCCTACGAGAAAATTGCGATGGTTATGATGCACAAGTTTTTCTTCAGTTGGAGGCATAGCTTAGTGGGGAAGCAAAGCATAGATTGGATATAGATGTAAGAGATTAATTTGAAACGGCAGGGCATTGTGAATCTGGAAAGTATAAGTATAAAATATTATTGAGAATAAGAAGCCAGACATCCTTATAGAACTGCACGAACACAAGAGTTCCTTACTCCCTCAAGGTGCCCATCTTCCAACACGGTAGTAGCATACATTATGAAAGAGTGTTAGAATTGTATTAAAAGTGGTGATTATCTAATTAACATGCATAATTAAACGGTTTGAGATGAACATGGAGTTATATAAAATTTATTCCTAGTAGTGACATAGGAGTTTCTTGATTTATTATCTAGACGAAGCCATGATAGTAGGAGTAGGTGGGGGCTCAAACTCCTGAACATGGGGAATATCAGGCCAACTAACTTTCCTCCTTTCTGTCATTGTAAGTTAGCCATTCTCTTGAAGTACTCATTTCTTCATGTGTGTGACTTTAAAACCAACAATCAACTGACTGCATCCATTTAATAGGTTCCATATATCGAAGCAAAAGTTGCAAATACTCATATTTTATATGCGCTAGTTACTTTGGGCTCTAACCAAAACCTGAGTATAGATGCCTTTGAAGATGTGGCCCAATATTTTAAAAATGACATGGTATGAATCTTTTTCCTTATGCAATCAACAAATTAGCTATCTTAATGGAACAGTTTTCGTTCATCTAGTTGATCAAATTGAAACTCCCAGATTGTTGATAAGATACATGGTCAAATGGATGCTTTTCTTGAAGATGGATCACATGAAGCTATCATTGCTGTGGTTCGTGCATTAGTGGTTGTTGTACCACATACAATGGAGAGACTTAAGATTATATCCTTGACATACTTACTGAAGAATTATAATTACCACATTTTCAGCAAAGTGTTCGTAGGCGAACTCATTATTCCTTGATCATTGTGCAATTTTCTAATGGATACTCTTTGTATTGTCACTTCTTTAGCATTATATACATCTTTTATCCAAGATTTTTCAACTTACAGCCACTCAGCCTACAAGTGACTTGATGCGTCGTCATGAGAGAAGCAATGCATTTAGTGAAGCAATTCGTGCTCTAGATGCAACATGTTTGCTTCTTCCGGTTGACCTATCGGTTGGAGTAGAGGATTTTGTGGTCAGGGTCGTATTCTTTTTGCGACGTTTGGATCCCTCAGCTTGAGCTAACTCATATCTGGCTTGTTGAGCTTGCCTCTGCATTCCCAGTGCTAGAAAAGTTGCTTCCACATGTGGCGTTCCTTACCCTTAGTGCTAAATTAATTACCAATATTAACTACATTTAAATATTTATAGTTAAGTAAGAAAAATGATGACTTCATTAATGTCATTGTTTAAGACCAGCAATTATGGTACTATCAATTGTACATAGAGAATAATGAGATGTATGTTATATGGTTAGAGAAAATAAATAAAAGTCAGTGTAAGTTGTACCGACTTCCGAAATATGTGTTTTTGCTTCATTTAGTTGGTTGCTTTTTAAATTTTGTTCTTCATGAGGTCAATTTGGTGGCTCATAGACTTGCTTGACTTGCTGTAACTTTATTTGAGGAGTCAATATGGTATAGGGACCCTCTCGATATCATACAGGATATCTTAGTTGAAGATCGTATATAATGGTTTATTTCAATAAATCATTATTTTTTTCTAATTAAAAAACTAACATGTCTTGTCCGCTTTCTCCGCATTGGGCTCCCTTTCCTTTCTCTTCTCCATTTGCCCAGCCTTAGTCAATTCGACTCTAGGCCTTGGAGTTTTACTCAGTTGGGGCGGTTGAGCTTGGAATTGAGCGTCGACCATGTTGATGGCTGCTGGAGGAAAAGGTTTAGCATCCACTTTCATGGCTAGCTTCTCTGCAAACTCAGGCTTTTTTTCATCCATCAATGTTTATACGATGTAACACAAGACAACACAATTGTTAGTACTTGGAGATTAAGAACTGTGATACTTACAGAATATCTTTCCTTTGAGCTCTTCGGTCTTAGGGATTTTGTGGCCGATTGATAGCTTGACCTTCTTCTCGACCAAAAGTAAGTTGAAAATTCTTTTGGTCCTAGTCAACTTGATGGTGTAACCTTACTGTTGTCGGCCCTGATAAGCTCTTTGCACATGAAAGTCTTATCAATGTTGACTTCGGCCGAACTGACTTCCATCTCGGCCTTGGTGATTGCACCTTGGTTGTCAAAATCTGCATAGTTTACGATCGGGTTTTTGTAGTACGTCTTTTTTGTGGTCGTTTTCTTTTGATTTTCATCTCTCAAAAGGGACGCATTTCTGTCAACTTTGTTGATCGAGTCATGCATGTCATGAAACTCGATACCTTCGAATTTCTTCTGGTATTCGAACTCTAGACATTCTTTCGCCATCTTGACAAATTCCCACTCATGCTGATTGGTTTGCCACCAATTCTTGCACGTATTGAACCTTTGTATTAATTACGAGTTGATTCGCTTGACATTTGGCTTATCCTTGCAAGTTCGGCGACGGTAATCTCCCTGTTGGTCTGGTAAAAGTGTCCATGGAAGACTTTTTCCATGTCGAGCCAATCTCAGATCGAATTTGGTAGGAGATTGATGAACCAAGAGAATGTTGTGTCGGTCAAGGAATGGACGAACAACCGAAGTTTTTGGGTGTCGGAATCCGCCTCACCTTATTGGGCCATAAAATGGCCAATATCCTCAACTGAAGATGTATGCGCGTCCCTGAAAAATAATATGAATTCGGGTATGCCATAGTTCTGAGGGAGTGGAGTGGGATCGATTTCAGGCGGATAGGATTGTGTATCTCGGCGCCTCTGGTCGCTATTGGGCTAAGCCATCTTCGATCATGCATCGTACAACTTCCACTCGAAGCACTTGAGGAAGTGGCTCGATCCTTGTAGGTAGAGGTTGTTGGACCTATCCTTCTTCTTGCACGACGAGCACATGCGTCCTTGGTGGTTAGCCGACTTGTATTACTAGCTTGTCCACAGGAGGTAGGTCGATCTATATCTGAAACCCTGCTACCTGAGTCAGGCTAGGTTGACGTGAGGTGCTGCCACTTGTGCTGGACCGAGTTGCAACCGTTGACCTGGGGCAAGTGTTGGTGCCATGGCTATATGAACTGGGCCGGGTCGTGTTTGCTATACGGCCACATAGGACGGGCCACCCTACTGTTCTAGTACAACCGTCTGGAATTGGCCGAATTGTCGTTGTGGGACGGCCACCTTGAGTGGGCCAAGTGGCATTTGTGAACCAAGAGACTACGATGGTCCAAGCTACACCTGAGATACGACCGAAGTAACTAGGCCGACTTGTTACGTTACAGCCGAGTGTACTTGGCCGAAATATTGTGTTACAGGCACCTGAGTTAGATCGAGTTGATGTTGTTACACGTCTATATAAGAGCAATTGTCCGAGTTGCGGAGTTAAACCGAGTTATGTTAAGAGTAATTGTCTTGTGATTAGGAAAATATTTGTTAAAAAATGCTTGAGTCATCTTCGCCCAAGAACCTACGGACCTAGCCCTTAATGAATATAGCCAACTTTTTGCCTTTTATTTTAAAGAAAATGGACAAAATTCTAACCTTATGAAATTAATCCAATCAAATTTTTTTTCCCCTAAAATTAATCCAATCAAGTTGACCATTGTAAAAGGTGCCAATAGCTTCTTCAAATTCCCTAACATGCACGTAAGGATTTTGACTTTCCATGCCATGAAAAATAGGTAGCAATTGAATCATTCCACGTTTAAAATCATAATTTGGCATGTTTGGTGGGAACATGATGCATGAAGGATTTGGTGTACGAATATGATGCAATAATGTCTCTAAAGTTCTAGGTACAACTACTTCTTCTCTTTATAACATTATTTTATAATTCTTTAAGTGTCACATGCATGTGACCATTCTTAACACTAATTGGATGAAATGTGAGTGAATCTAACGGTATGGGGAAATTGACTAAAACCAATAACTGAGGTCCTTAATTTTCTATATATATAAATAGAGAATAAATAAAAAATTATGTACAAATTCAGGGGGAAAATCAACAGTTAACCCTAAGATGGAAGAACAAAAAGTGATGTCGATGATATACTTTGATTTATGGGAGCTTTAGTTTCAGACCCAATAATGGGGCTTTAAATAGCAGAAAACTCAACCCTCTAGAAATTCAATTGAAAAACCCAAAGTCCATTTTCAAAAACAAAACGATATTCAACATTACCAATTTACCACCAACAGAAGCCAAGCTCAAGCTTCATTAGAAAACCCAAACTAAATTACAAGAGTGCCACCGCCTATTGGGCTTCAAAAACCTACAATGAACCATGCCACCAGCTTTTATAATCAAGTCCATACCCAACCTCTCTCTCTCTCTCTCTGATAATACACATCATCCTCCTTGTCCATGCATGACAGTTTTGTCCTTGTTGCAGTGGGCTGTGTCTTGGGCTTTCTGGGCTGCCTCTGAGGCCTTCTGCTTGACTACTCCCTTTACCTCTTGTTTCGTGTCGTAGATCGGGTCCCCTACTTCTTGGGCCTTGTCCTCTACTGAGCTCGTCACCTGGCCGGCACTTTCCTGTGAAACATGTGTTATGGTATCTAATGAACATGTTAATTCTAGATTATATTTTATTGAAAAGCTTTTAAACTAAAGACTATATTAAGTGTATTACTAATCAAAAGCAGCTCATGATCCTTTTATTGAAGGCATAAGTGCAGTATATGTTCACTGAAATGGTAAATATATATGTTTGCTTGCCAGGGTATGAGGAAAAATGGAATTGGATAAACAAAGAATGGGAATCATATTAACTAGGAGTGGATAGTTGATTTGATTCCACTTCCTTGAGGAATTTCATTAAGGATTTTTAGGTGGAACCCCCATATTTAATAATTTATGTGTAAGTAAAAGCAAAGGAAGTCAGGAATGAAAATCATTCCCTTTCTTCTTGTTCCCATTACTTATAAGTAAATGTATACAAATGATGCTCAGATGATCTGGGACTGGAGTGTCCTACAACCTACCCCAAAATATCTCCCATATTTAGTCTAACCCCTAACCTATAATTTCATAACTAATTAAGCCTACCACCTGGAGGTCCTATTTGGTTCACAAAATGAATTTGAGGGGAAATCACTTTTCATGTTTGTTAATCCTGGGAAAGTTATAATAAAAAATACCACTTTATTTCTTTTCGCATGTTTGGTTTGTGTAAAAATGTAAAACAAACTTTGTTTAATTTTCTAATTATACCCATATGAAATCAAATATAAAAAAAACGCATTTAATGCTACATTGTAATTTTTAATTGTTAATGGGGACAATATGATCATGAAAAATGTGTATTTAATGTTGGCACATTTTTCCAAACTTTCCATGTGCCACGTAGGAGGGCTTCACTTCCCCTCTATTTTTCCGTGTGCACAGCAATCATTTCCCATGCCTAAACTTACCAAACATAGGGGACCCCAAACCTTTTTTTCCATGAACCAAACGGGACCAGAAGGCTAAGTTGGCCCTAATATTTGTGGGCAGGTGTGGGTACGGTACCTGAGCTTGGCCCTTGGCTTCGTCATCAGCTCTGTAGCTCTGTCTCTGCTGCTGATCATGGGACGCCATATTCTTTGCCTTGCCTCTCCAAAACAATGAATGAAAGATTAGATTTCTTCTCCAAGTTTGCAATGTGGGAATATTAGAGGAACATAAACAGTCAACAGTGCACCGTATAGGTATAGCGGTTGCAAGTGTGGCGCTGGGTGGTCAACACGTGTCATGCTTGTTGACACGTCATGTGCCACGTGGTGCCATCTTCTGGACTAAGGTTTTTTTTGTTTTTTGTTTTAGGTCAAGCTTCGGTGTTTGTTTGTTCGTTTTCAACAGCTACTTCGGTTCTTTTCCTTTTTGGGTCTTCGGTTTATAACTTCCAAGAGGATTTACATTAATATGTATTGGCCTGTACCTAGTCTAGTTGAAACATTATTGAATAGTAAATTTTGGTGTGATCGATATAGTATTAGTGAATATTAATGGACGATAATCTTATATTTTAAAGTTAAAATATTAATAAATAAATAAGTGAGACTTTTAACACCACAACGATATATAATCATTTATTTTACAGTTTAATAACTGTAAATAAATAGATGGAAATTGTAACACCGATTTAAGAATTCTCAATTGTAAATGACCCACGTAGTTTGGAGCAACTGTTCCTCCGGAAAGGTCCTAGATTCGAGTCCTAATATCCGTGATGCAGTTTGTGTGAGTTTATTGCAGTAAAACTACAGTCCTCAAATACAGCTATATATACTCGAGATGGGGCATTGAACGTAGTTGTATGCGTTTCAGTGTTTGAATTAAGGTCTGCTTGATGAAGTGGATCATTGAACCAATTTTACCATATACTTATTGTTATAAATTTTTATTTTGTAGTCATGGTTAGGAAGGGAAGCGGTAAATACTTTCACACAAACGGTGTCATGAGGAATGGAACTGCAAAATCACTAGCTGGCATGTCCCACTGAGCTAAAACCCCATTGACTTTGTTATAAACTTGTTATTCATATAATTTTGGGCTGCCAAGTGTGTAACTCTCTCTTAGAAACTGTACTAGCTACATGGGCATTAAGCTTGGATGAATTATGCATAAAGAAAGATAAATAAACTGCTTCATATTTCATTTATGACTGAGAATTACACATAAAGAAAGATAACTGGAAAACAAAAAATACAACATTAATCCCAACTCAGCGAGAGGGAAGCATAGGACTTCTAAACCATGCCCAACATAAAAACACCACAAAAACAACACCTGAAATTTAACCAAACAAACAATAATTCTTTGCCACAAACTTATAAATTACTAATATTTATAGCCCCTGTCAGTTCCAAGTTCCAGTGCCAGTGCCAGTGCCAGTGCCAGTGCCAGCCTTCTTATCAAAAAGGCCAGTTTCATCTTTCTCCTCATCATTCTTGCCCAGCCCAAGAGTGCTTTTCACAGCATCAGTAGCACCCTGAGCCATGTGCTTCATCTGTTCTCCAGTCTGCTGCAACACCCCACTGGTTTTCTCTTTGCCTTGCTGGGCTGTCTCTCTAGCCTTCCGGGCTGCTTCTTCTGCACTCTGTTTTGCAGCCTCTGCCTTCTCTGCGGCCTTGTCTTTGACTTGGTAGGTAGCTCCCTGGGTTTTGTCCTTGGCTGCTTGGCCTGTCTCGTATGTCTTGTCCCTTGTTGCTTGGGTTGTGTCTTGGGCCCTGTCCCCTATTGAGCCCTTCATCTGGCCAGCCTTTTCCTGAGAGACCAAGGGTAAAACCGTAAAATCACAATGAATATTGCATCACTAATTTGTATTTTTTATTTTTTTATAAATAAATAATAAAAGCAATATTCTGGACTACAAAGGAAAAACAAATTTCTCACACACACTACTAAGATATTAAGATATTATGCCATCGGTGTTTGAAAATGAGAACACTAGTCTACAAGTTAAGAGCATTTTCCCATTGAAAAAGACCTCCTTGGCACATCACTACTACTTCTAAGCATACACAAAAATACTCTCTTTGTATTTTCACACTTGATGTTTCAGAAAATCAATTTGAACAACATAAGTGAACATAAAATTTAACTTAAAAAACAAAATCATATTAACAATCTAAGAACATAACACACGGTCACGAAGTACAACCAAAAACAGAAAACTAGGTAAATACCTCAGCTTGGCCCTTGGCTTCACCAGCTCCGTAGCTCTGCTTCTGGGATGCCATTTTTGCCTTCTAAAAGAGTGAATAAGAGCGATGGATTTAGAGTTTATCAAAATTTGTGTACGTCTTCCAACTTTGAGATATATGTTGATGATGAGAAGGAACGGTGGCAGTATGCATGGCATATATAGCATTCTCACGTGGGCTGGTTGGTCAACAAGTGTCCACGATGTTGACACGTCGTATGACACGTGCTTTGCTTTCTGAAATTCTGAGGTGAGGTAATTTGCTGCGTCGGTTTGACTTCTAACAAGATTTGCATTATATGTATTGGCCAATAGACTGTTGACACATTGTCATTACATGCAAGTGTTGGATGTGGACGGTTTACACGATTGTTTATTACTGTGCTCTATCTTACCAACTTTTAATTTAAATTTTTACAATTTCTAAGAAAACCCCACTATCTTCCCAAACTACCCTTAAATACACCTCAAACTGAAAAAATAAGAAATAAAAGAGATTTTCTATTTAAACCCCACAATTTTCTTTGTTCACCCCAATATTTAAATCATTAAACAATATTTGTAGTATACATGAGATTTTGTTTGGGGTGAAAGTTTAAAGCAAAAGTATGTGCTAGGCATCAGTTTAAGGACAGATTGAAGGCATCAGTTTGAAGCAAAAATACATGAGATTTTCTTCTTGTGCTAGGCATCAATTTGAAGCAAAAGTATTTTTAGTATACATGAGATTTTGTCACGGCTGATCTTTCTCTTCAAGCCTTGGAAAAAATCTTCTACAGTTGTGGAGCCTAATCGTCTAGTAGCACACAGTGCTTCAATGCATCAAATCTCAAGAATATCAAGAGTGGTAAGGAGTTTGTATTTTTCTAAAACTTAATATGAAGAGTGGTGGGGTGTGTTAATAATAGGGTTAAGTATTAAGTTGGATGACCTTTTTTGTCTTTTTACACAATAATAAAACTTACAGCTTAATGATTTATGTATTGGGGTGAACAAAGAGAAGTACGGGGTTTAAATAGAAAATCTCTAAAAAATTTAGTGGTAAGTAAGGAGTTTGTAGCTCAAGTGATTAAAAATATATTTATTACCCTTATATCTTAGGTCTCAAGTTCAATTCCTTCTTCTCCCAATATAGTTTGTATATAAAAAAAAAATATTAGTGGTCCATATAAGATTATTTAGGAACTAGGTTCAATTTGCTTCTTAAATAATTTCGAGAAAGGTGGTGCTATTTGTACCACATTTACTGATCACATTGATGACCATCTCTCTAATAAAGGTGAGTTGTTTCACGAATAATGTTAGCCAAAAATAGAAATAGCAAGAAACCTATAATTTAGGTTTAATAATTTAAAGATCACTAGTTAATAATTTTTTTTATAGTATAAGCGATAGTCTAAATTACAGGGGAGGGAGGTTTCTCACATACACACACAACCAAGATGCCATGGGGTTCAAACTTGAGACTTCTGATCTGTAAGTTAAGGCCGTTTTTCACTACCCCATTGGCATAATTTTCTTAGTATGTTACAAATATTGGGTTAAAATGTTTAATTTCAATTCACTAAGTACTTTCTTTTAATAAAAAGATTTAGAGTCTTTTCCTTCCAGTACTTCGGATGAGTATTATGTTGATGCTAGGGACACCAAATGCATGCACCAAATTTGAGTCCCAAATGATACGGCACGTGGCACATCATAAATAATTAAATAATCAATTTAAACTTGGGTTATAATTTAGTTAATTTACTTTAGAATTTTTTTTTAAAAAAAGAGCTTAATTATTCAAAATCACTGTAGTTAATCCTAAACAATTAAGCTTGTCGTTGTACAACCATTGTTGACTTTGATCATCATCATCATCTTCGAAACAAGGATCATAGTTTGAGACTTTTATCACCATCATAATCTGGGAAACAAGAATTTGAATTTGAGGCAGATGAATTAAACCACATAATAAGTTGATTGAAAAGAGAAGGCTGATGCACGTATATACATATGAGAGCGGTTTATTATTTGAAAGAAAATAAGCCATTAATTTATTATGATAATTAAGCTTGATTAATTATCCCGGAGCCTATGCCAAGGGACTCTCTTTCTTGACTAAGCAAACCTGTTTGAAACAGTCCTATCAATACATGCCATCCATGCTACTGATTAAACGCCAAAAAATGAGGTAGGAAACTAGGAAGTGGCAAGAATAGGAGACTTTGAGAATCTATATATACTCTTCAAATGGAAGAGCTTTGCATTGTGCATTCTTACTTTGAAATTTAATTCAATTTGAGTGAAGAAACAAAATCAAGCACAAAAATGGCAAGCCACCAAAATCAGGATTTGAGCCACAAGGCAGGCGAGTTGACTGGTCAAGCTCAGGCAAGTTATAACTGTGATTAATTTTGTAATAATATGAAATTAGGGTTGGTGATTTGTTATCAATTTTTCATCCCATCAAGTTAATCCATGTTTTTTTATAAAAATTTTCCTGATCTAATTAACTTGTGCAGGTAAAGAAAGATGAGTTTCTAAACCAGGCATCAAATATGTCTCAATCTGTCCAGAATAAGGCATCAGATATGTCTCAATCTGTCCAGAATAAGGCATCAAATGCGTCTCAGTCTGTCCAGGAGAAGGCATCAAATGCATCTGAATCTACCCAGAACAAGGCATCAAATGCATCTCAGTCTGCCCAAAACAAGGCATCAGATGCATCTCACACTGCCCAAGACATCAAGGACCAAGCCACCCATCTCCTTCAACAGGCAATCACTTCCTCCCCTTTCCTTATTATTTCAATGATTTTTGTTCTTAAATATATATAGTATAAGAAGTTACTCAGAATTTAATCAAACATATAAGCCAATTCAATTAGTATCATCTCATCACTCTAAT